AGATAGAGGAGAGATAGAGAAGAGATAGAGATACAGAAGAGATAGAGGAGAGATAGAGGAGAGATAGAGAAGATATAGAGGAGAGATAGAGAAGAGATAGAGATGAGATAGAGAAGAGATAGAAAGATAGAGAAGAGATAGAGAAGTGATAGAGGAGAGATAGAGATAGAGAAGTGATAGAGGAGCGATAGAGGAGAGATAGAGAAGAGATAGAGATGAGATAGAGAAGAGATAGAAAGATAGATAGAGAAGAGATAGAGAAGTGATATAGGAGAGATAGAGGAGAGATAGAAAGATAGAGAAGAGATAGAGAAGTGATAGAGATTAGATAGAGAAGTGATAGAGATAGAGGAGAGATAGATATAGAGATAGAGATAGAGAGAGAGATTAGGGACAATGTGATGACATTGGGCTGGAGGGCTACGCTACGCAATTCAGCTAGTACTCTATGCTAGCTATATAAACTGCCGTAGAGCATCAATATCTTATAAACGTTACATTATTTAACTTTTTTTTAAACATGTCTTATTATCTAATGACTAATGATCATCTTGGACATCATACTGTATGTGTGAGGCTTACCAGGTAGTAGCTGGTTTGAGGAAGAGACCTCAGGTATGTGTTGTCATGGGAGAGAGTAGAACAGGTCAGCTTCCTCAGTTTCTGAGGAAATATACAGATGTATGATCTTCATTTGAGCCAGTTTGCTACAGCAAGAAAATAATCCTGCAGCAAAAGGAAATGTGAATTATTATGTGATTTATCATTAATGGACATTTTTTGTAGGGGTTGATACATTTTTCGTAAGTGGAAATATTAAACTTCAGAAGCGTCAAATACACTATACGTTTTAAATGTCCTGCATTGCAGGAAAGTTCTCCTGAAACAGGGTGATCAAATTAAGATCCTACATCTGTAGACAGACAGACAGACAGACAGACATGAACAGAGTGATAGAGAGAGTGAGGCAGAGAGAGAGAGAGAGAGAGAGAGAGAAGGAGGGAGGGGTAGGTGAGAACAGGGACTTAAAGGAGGAGAACCAGAGCACACAGAACAAATGAGAAGCAAATACAGAGCCACAGGAAGCCATTTAACTGCAGCTAGGACCCATTAGGACCCCCGCAGGGTGTCCCTGTCTCTGCCTGCGTTGGTCCTGCCATCCCCTGCCCATCTAGGTCGACCCGTCCCAATTCGTTCCCTACCCTACAAACTTGGACTTTTAACCCTTCAATGTTTACAGATCTGAAGGTTCCGGATAGGTGCATTTACTATCCTCTCATGTCTCGTTCATCATGTGGATGTTTAACGGACAAACGCGAGGAAGCCTGGAAGTAGTGTCTGGATAGGTAATAAGCAATGTCGTGGAGCCGAAGAGCTTCCAACACATTGCTTCCACCTTACAAATCTACAAACACCGTAGGACTAAGGGAGAATAAGGGAGGGAGCGGATTGGGACCGACTGACTCTGACCAGAGTCTCTCGGTCTAAACTCTACAGCGGGGCTGAGGAAACAAAGGACAGTTTCATTTCCTCAGCAATTTGTACTAAAGGGTTCCTACTGGGCAACCCCATAAAGGTGTTAATAGTAGTTTATACTGGCTTCTTTGTCTCACCTTTGTCTTTGTCTAGCTTCGTGTCATTAGAGAACACAATCACTGCCTCCTGAAGAAGCTCAAGGTTTTATGGTAGGGGAAGACAAGACAGGATTTGCCAACCACACTTCTTTCAACCTGCACCTCCACAGTCTCTTTCCCAGGGACTTAAACCTTTATTTATTGCTCCACTCACACCCAGACAGTCAAAATCAAAGTCAATCACGTCTTGATCCCTGGTTATGGGCTAGATTCAATCCGTATCGCAGAATGATCCACTTTATAGCGTGATTGAAATGTAAAGGTCATTTCCAATTGAACCTATACGCAGCGTTTACCGTGAATGCAGTCTCCGCGAACATTGCCTTTTAAATTTCAATCGCGCTATAACGTGGATCTTCCACGATACGGATTTAATCTAGGCCTTGGCTTTGCCATAAGAATGAGAATCTTTATTGTGATTATATAGATCATGTGCTGTAAGTTCAAAAACACCTGCAAGATCAGGTAACACATGGACACATTAAAATACTATCACTACTTACTATTACTACCATCAAACTTAAAATCGAAGACAGTTTTATAGATAAAAGAGTACAATCAGTCAAGTACACCATTCAAACTCATCCACCCCCCCGTATTACGACAGTATAACCCCCCTAGTGAAAGATACTGTCCTGACTTCAGCTGTTACGACAATATAACCCCCCTAGACAATGATACTATCCTGACTTCAGGTCTCAAAGGATCAAGTAAGTTGTTAGTTAATTGCAGGTCTAATGATGTCAATAATATGCGTGTCACTTTGGGAGATCTACTGTATGAGCCTGGTGTGGGGAGGAGTGTGTGAGGCATGTAAGGTGGCTGGGTTTGATTGGGGCTTTGATTCTCAGGGACAGGGTTGTGTATTTGAGCTTAGACGACATGGTGTGGTAGGGGGAGATGTTTGGGGGATGTTGTGGGGAGTGGGGCAGGAAGGGGGGGGGGGGGGGGGGGTCATTGTATTGACATATACTGTAGGTCTCTCTTCACTAGGACAATGAACCAGGGCCTGTATCGAGGAGAACACACTGAAGTCAGGTGGAAACTAAAAGCAAGAGGTGCTTTACAACTTTAGATCATCTCCACACCAGTCTGGGTCTGTGAGCTCTCCAACCCTGTTCCTGGAGAGATACCCTCCTGTAGGTTTTAACTCCAACCCTGTTCCTGGAGAGATACCCTCCTGTAGGTTTTAACTCCAACCCTGTTCCTGGAGAGATACCCTCCTGTAGGTTTTAACTCCAACCCTGTTCCTGGAGATACCCTCCTGTAGGTTTTAACTCCAACCCTGTTCCTGGAGATACCCTCCTGTAGGTTTTAACTCCAACCCTGTTCCTGGAGATACCCTCCTGTAGGTTTTAACTCCAACCCTGTTCCTGGAGATACCCTCCTGTAGGTTTTAACTCCAACCCTGTTCCTGGAGAGATACCCTCCTGTAGGTTTTAACTCCAGCCCTGTTCCTGGAGATACCCTCCTGTAGGTTTTAACTCTAACCCTGTTCCTGGAGATACCCTCCTGTAGGTTTTAACTCCAACCCTGTTCCTGGAGATACCCTCCTGTAGGTTTTAACTCCAACCCTGTTCCCGGAGATACCCTCCTGTAGGTTTTAACTCTAACCCTGTTCCTGGAGATACCCTCCTGTAGGTTTTAACTATTTTAATTATAATTCCCTTCACCCAGCTGCCAATCGTTGTTCTTCAAAGCACCTCTCACTCACATGGCTCTCTCAGAAATCTGAACTCTTATTAGCCAATACCCGTCACGTGATCGGGTCCTTCTCACAGGCCTCGCAGCTCCGAAGTAGGCCCACAAGTAATGAAGACAGACACATAGGGAAATCAACAGTGTGCGTCCCTTATCGAATTCCGAGGCGCACTTTGAAGATGTTAGAACTGTCTACGTTACTTTTCCTCAGCCAACAAGACGAGTAACGAACAGCAAAATCACTAGCCTATATCAATCTACTATCCCCCATAGTAGATTAGTTTACCTATTCTATTGGTCAGATTGTTGTTCTGTCCGAGAAATAAATATTCCAAACAGACTCTGGGATGATAGATCCCAAATTCATTACATTTTAGTCATTTAGCAGACACTCTTATCCAGAGACTTACAGTTAGTGAGTGCATACATTATTTTTTATATTTTTCATACTGGCCCCCTGTGGGAATCAAACCCACAACCCTGGCATTGCAAACGCCATGCTCTACCAACTGAGCTACATCCCTGCCGGCCATTCCCTCCCCTACCCTGGACAACTGTGCGCCGCCACATGGGTCTCCCGGTCGCGGCCAGCTACAACAGAGCCTGGATTCGAACCAGGATCTCTAGTGGCACAGCTAGCACTGCGCCACTCGGGAGATTATACAACCATTGTACATAAAAAAACTTTTAAAAAGCAATGAGGCTGATGCAACAGATCAGAATGTTTAGCTTAAAATGTTGATAAACTATTATTTCTTCGTATTATAAGTGAAGCAATGAGCACACGGCAGTAGGCTATACCCGCAAATTGTTCCAAAATGCAATTAGCTGAAAACATCATTCTTAAAAGCGCACCACACATGCTAGCGGTTTCATGTGTCAGAGATTAAAATATCCATTTGAAATGTAGAAAGAAGGGAGATCTAAAGATGCAACAACTAGCATGGGTTGCTAATATGACTATTGTGGCTTTGGCTACTGGAAAATGAAAGAAAGTTAAAACCCACTATAACATGAGAGAAATGCTGGTTTCAATGGCATATGAAGAAGTGTTTATAAAGGAATTCCCTCAACATATAGGATATGGTTGGATTATGGCTACAGGCTACTTTGAAACAAGGTAGACATGTCTCAAAAAAAATGACGTCCAGGTTTTAAACAAATAGTTTCAAAATGCTGACTGCCTCCGCTCAGATTGCAAGGTGGGTGATGTTGCGGTGCGCAACAGGCACTGGCCTTTCTCTCCTATCTTAACGAACCAAGCCTCGAGTCGATAGAATCAAGCCTTTAGACGTTCATTTTAATTACCCTACATTATATTTGTCAAACATGACTAGCTTTTGGCATATATACACTGTGTACAAAACATGCTCTTTCCATGACATAGACTGTCCAGGTGAAAGCTATGATCCCTTACTGATGTCACTTGTTAAATCCACTTCAATCAGTGTAGATGAAGCGGAGGAGACGGGTTAAAGAAGGATTTTTAAGCCTTGAGACAATTGAGACATGGATTGTGTATGTGTGCCATTCGGAGGGTGAATGTGGACATGAGAGGCTGTAGCCAATCAGCATAGTCTAGCCGAATTATTTATGTGCATTTTACATTTACATATACTTGTTTTTTTTACCAAGTGTTATTTTTTTTACACCTAGTGTTTCTAATCAATTGAATTGCCTATTTTGGTTAATAGCCTTGGTGCCCTGGCAGATGGCCTTGGTGCCCTGGCAGATGGCCTTGGTACCCTGGCAGATGGCCTTGGTACCCTGGCAGATGGCCTTGGTACCCTGGCAGATGGCCTTGGTGCCCTGGCAGATGGCCTTAGTGCCCTGGCAGATGGCCTTAGTACCCTGGCAGATGGCCTTAGTGCCCTGACAGATGGCCTTGGTGCCCTGGCAGATGGCCTTGGTGCCCTGGCAGATGGCCTTAGTGCCCTGACAGATGGCCTTGGTGCCCTGGCAGATGGCCTTAGTGCCCTGACAGATGGCCTTGGTGCCCTGGCAGATGGCCTTGGTGCCCTGGCAGATGGCCTTGGTGCCCTGGCAGATGGCCTTGGTGCCCTGGCAGATGGCCTTGGTGCCCTGGCAGATGGCCTTAGTGCCCTGACAGATGGCCTTGGTACCCTGACAGATGGCCTTGGTGCCCTGACAGATGGCCTTGGTGCCCTGGCAGATGGCCTTAGTGCCCTGACAGATGGCCTTGGTGCCCTGGCTGATGGCCTTGGTGCCCTGGCAGATGGCCTTGCTGCCCTGGCAGATGGCCTTGGTGCCCTGGCAGATGGCCTTGGTGCCCTGACTGATGGCCTTGGTGCCCTGGCAGATGGCCTTGGTGCCCTGGCAGATGGCCTTGGTGCCCTGGCAGATGGCCTTGGTGCCCTGACAGATGGCCTTGCTGCCCTGACAGATGGCCTTGCTGCCCTGGCAGATTGGGATCCTCTTGAAGGCCAAATGGCCTTGCCCCTAAATCACAAAATTCTAGGCCTGGTAACTACAAAGTAGTCTATGCCTACCTGGCACAATCATGATTATTTGCATCAATCCAGTTGCCATTTGTTTTGAAAACTCCATCACAAGTGTGCTACAGAAACACCCAGAAACACCTGGTAGCCGAACACAGCAGTCTGGCTGGCACGCACCTGAATTAAAGGGTAACTACTGTACACCAGACCTGTTACAGTAAATCTATCCAAATTACTGTAAGAACACAAGGACATGCTCATTTAAAAGATGGCTAGTCATTATTGGCCTGGTTCTGCATGGAATGCAGCCACATTATGGGACACAGGCCAGGTCATTATATATTTTTTAAAATGGTGAAACCAAATCATGTGCTGGTGCCACCAGGTGGAAAAATCTTGTGTAGAACCCTGGGATGGTAGCTTTCCATGAAGAGGGGTGGAGAGCCCTGGTAGACTAATTTGTAGCCTGACACTGACCCCTGTTGGCGATCGACTGGTATTACATAACTTCTCTTACCTACATCTCAGTGTGTAATACCGAATGAAAGTATTGAAAGCAATAAACAGAATTACCATGTGTTTTTGTGTGTTTATAAGGTTGTTTCATTAGTGTTTCATAGGGTGCGTTATCAGTCCACTTGGTCATACATAGGGTTGTACATTTGTCAAAATTTCCAGAAATCCGGGTTGTAGGCTTCGGGATTTCCTGATTATTCCATCCTGATCTTGGGAATCTTCCAACCAGGATTTATGGAAAACCAGGGAATTTTGGGAAGGTTACTGTAATGTTGCAAGCCTAATCCTACATGAATAACATTTGAATGTGCTTTACCGGTGTGTGTTTGTCCTCCGTGACTGCCCCAGCTGCCTCCGCACGTCGTTGTATCTCCTGTCTCTGTGTGTGTATCTTTTCTCTGAGCATGGCAGAGTATCGATGGTACAGGACGTCTCTGAGACGGTGCATGTTTCTGTACGCCTCTAGATGGCGCTGATGTCCAACACAAAAATATCAAAATCAACACCTACAATACTACTGTGTAGAAAATGAAACTGTGAGAGACACAGAGACAGAAAGACAACCTCATGGGTTTCGGTTACATTTCTTTTTTCTTTTACAGTAACATATTCTTACATTATTAATCGTATTGGTATCATAGAGACAAATGTATTTAAATGTATACAAATGTATTTATTCATTTATCTATATGATTGGTAATGGTATATGGATGGTATCCACCAAGGCTGTAATTCTTGCGGTACCACCGACCTGATCCAGCAGAGCCTGGCGACTGATGCTGTCTGGGTCACTATCAGAACCAGGGTGATCCTGACCCCCAGGCCCAGTCCCAGTCTGGCTCTGGGTCAGCTTCTTCCTCCAACGCTGAGGCCTGTCTGCGTCCTCTGCCTGTCTCAAGTCAAAACACACAGAGGTTGGACGGAAACAGGGGGACTGGGGACTGTCAGGCTCAAAGATTCTGGACGTATTTTCTGCCTATCGACAAGTCTAAACACAGGTTGATTACTTTGTTTGTATCCATTAGGACATTCTTTCTATGGGATACAGCATGTCAGCATACAGAAGTACACAGACAGACAGACAGCACATCGTACTCATTACAGACATACAGTTGGATGGAAATAAGGGGTCTGTCTGTCCCAAACACAGAATTAAATGGAACAGTCTATGGTCTGTTTATAGCATCTCTATGGTCCCAAAGATGTTGGACATATCCAGTAATCACTCCTGTCTTCCAGTGAATGTGGAACCTCCCACATAATAGCCTTTAGACATTGTGTTCTTCTTCTGGCAATTTCCTGTCAAAACCGATTATCCCTCCTTACCCAAACTCAGAGGATTTGCCAGATTGGCCACCACTGTACTGCACACGCACACGCACACGCACACACACACACACACACACACGTGCACGCGCACGCGCACGCACGCGCACGCACGCGCACGCGCACACACACACTCACACTCACACACTCACACTCACGCATACGCACGCGCGCACGCACGCACGCACACGCACACACACGCGCGCACGCACGCACGCACGCACACACACGCACACACACACACACACACACGCACACACACACACACATACACACACACACGCACGCAAACACACACACGCATACACACACACACACACACACACACACACACACACACACACACACACACACACAGACATACACTGTGTGTGTGTGTGTGTGTGTGTGGTACAGTACAGTACAGTGAGAATGGGGTGCATATTGGGACACAGACATTGTCATATCTTATGTAATAAATCAGATCAAATGTTCTTTGTCCCGTGCTTGGTAGACAACAGCAGTACACTAACAGTGATATTTTTACTTCCGGGTCCTTTTCCAACAACGCAGAGTTCAAGATAGAAATAAAGATTTTTAAAAAATTAAATAAAAATAAAAATAGTAACATATAAAATAAAAATAAATATTTGTATTGTCACATACACCGGATAGGTGCAGTGGAATGTGTTGTTTTATAGGGTCAACCATAGTAGTACAGCACCACTGGAACAAACTAGGGTTCAGTGCCTTGCTCAAGGGCACATTGAGAGAATTTCACCTTGTCGGCTCGGGTATTACAGTTTTTTTTAATCGCTTTGGCACTAATTTCAGAACCTTGACGTCATTTTTCAAAACTCTAGACACAAAACTCACAACCAATGATCAAAATGCACATTTTTTCAAAACTCTAACACTTTTTTCAATTGCTTGGATACAATACACATAAAACTAAGATCATTTGTTCATTTAACAAAAATCACCTGTTCAATATGACACAACTTAACATCAATGTACTACTATTTCAAAAGGCAATTCACACATTACATTTCAGATGAGTGTCTATTCATTTCATTACAATTATCCAACTATCAATTGATACAACTGCTCAAAATGAAAAGTACCTGTTGCATTGCTCTTAATGCATAGTTGTATGGAAACAGACAAAATATATTCCATGTTTAGATCATGAAAGTTTCAAAGTAACGAGATTCACTGTCACCAATTAGCGTGGAGCATGAACCAATTAGACTACATTATCTATGGATGTAATATTTCATCATCATTCTCTATCAGACACCGTTTCTATGGTTCCCTTGTAACCTGCTCGATCAGGTCTGTAGAGCTGATGGCGTGACCTATGTCATTGTGTGGGATAATGTCAGGTCCCACCATGCTCATATGGTGCAAGCATGGTTTCAGGCCCATGCACAATTTACCACCCTGTATTTACCCCCATACTCTCCTTTCCTTAACCCGATTGAGGAATTTCTCTCCACATGGAGATGGAAGGTTTATGATAGGTGCCCTCATGAACAAGTCACTCTTCTCCAGGCCATGGATGACGCATGCAATGACATCACGGCAGACCAGTGTCAGGCCTGGATTCGCCATTGGCCAAAGGTTTTTTCCAAGATGTTTGGCTAATGAAAACATCCATTGTGATGTAGATGAGAACCTGTGGCCAAATCCACAAGACAGAGTTGATGAAAATGTAGAAGTACAGTAATCACTCCTACGTTTTGCTTTTTATAGTACAAGCAAGCAAGTTGATGTTTTACAGTACTGTATTGTTTTTCATCAATATATCTCAGATTTTGTTCAATGATTCCACTGTGTCTGTAGTATTCTCTCTACTACTGCAGTACTTTTACAGGGATGTATTTACATGTAGTACCATAATGAAACATGTATCACCTATTTTGTACTACAATATTTAATGATTGTATGAACAATGACACAGTGAAACTATCGGTTGCTTGTGTGTGGGTGATCTAAATTAACGTTTCATTGGTATTTCACAATACATTTGGTATTTTGAATCAATGATTGTGCAAGTGTAAGATTTCTTTAAAGATATGAATGCACAATGCAATGTTTTGAACATTGGGACAGCCTGTGTTACAAGTGATGACCGTTTTGAGTTTTGTGTCTAGAGTTTTGAAAAATGACGTCAAGGTTCTGAAATTAGTGCCAAAGTGATTGTAAAAAACTGTAGAACCAGCGACCTTTCAGTTATTGGCCCAATGCTGTAACCGCCAGGCTACCCGCCACCCTTAAACACACAGTGAATAACGAACAACAATAACTACTAAAAAATATCATGGCTATACAGGGAGTACTAGGTAATACCATGGCTATACAGGGAGTACAAGGTAATAACATGGCTATATACAGGGAGTACAAGGTAATACCATGGCTATATACAGGGAGTACCAGCACTGAGTGGATGTGCAGGGGTACAAGGTAATAACATGGCTATATACAGGGAGTACCAGGTAATAACATGGATATATACAGGGAGTACCAGGTAATAACATGGATATATACAGGGAGTACCAGGTATAACATGGCATTCAGGGGGTCCAGGTAATAACATGGAATTTACAGGGGGAAAACCCCACTGAGTCGATGTGGGGAGGGGGACAGTAATAACTGGGTATATACAGGGAAAATACCATAATAACATTGATATATCAGGGAGTACCAGTAATACAGGATATTACGGAAATACCATACTGATCGATTGCAGGGGGGGGTACGAGTAAAAACAGGATTAACAGGAGTACCTACTGAGTCGTGTCAGGGGGGGGTACAGGGATAACATGGGGATATACAGGAATCCATACTGAGTCGATGTTCAGGGGGTACGAGGTAATAACATGGATATACAGGAAGTACCAGTACTAGTGATGTTGCAGGGGTACAGTAATACCATGCTATATACAGGGAGTACCAGTACTGAGTGGATGTGCAGGGGTACGAGTAATAACATGGCTATATACAGGGATTACCAGGTAATAACATGGATATATACAAACAGACTGGTGATGTGCATACAGGTAAGAACATGGCTATATACCAGTGTGAGTACATGTATAATAACATGGCTATATACAGGATCCAGTACGGGATGTGCAGTAAAGGGTTTCATGCTATATCAGGGGTACCGTTAACGGATATATACATGGGTCCATATAGTCGATTGCGGAGGGGACCAGGTAATAACATTGGGTATATACAGGAGTACCAGTACTGAGTCGATGTGCAGGGGTCAGTCTGGCTATATCGGGGGTACCATAAAAATGGATATATACAGGGAGTACCAGTACTGAGTGGATGTGCAGGGAGGGGTACGAGGTAACTGAGGTAGGTTTGTACATATAGGTAGGGGTAAAGTGACTACGCAACACCTCTGTGTGTTTCCCCTGTAGCTCAGTTGGTAGAGCATGGCGCTAGCAACGCCAGGGTTGTGAGTTCGTTTCCCATCAGGCTGTGGTGTTCATCATCAGACCCGTTCTCATCAGACCCGTTCTCATCAGCCGTGGTGTTCATCATCAGACCCGTACTCATCAGACCGTGGTGTTCATCATCAGACCCGTATTCATCAGACCCGTTCTCATCAGGCCGTGGTGTTCATCATCATCAGACCCGTACTCATCAGACCGTGGTGTTCATCATCAGACCCGTATTCATCAGACCCGTTCTCATCAGGCCATGGTGTTCATCATCAGACCCATACTCATCAGGTCTTGGTGTTCATCATCAGACCCGTTCTCATCAGGCCGTGGTGTTCATCATCAGACCCGTACTCATCAGACCTTGGTGTTCATCATCAGACCAGTATTCATCAGACACGTTCTCATCAGGCCAAGGTGTTCATCATCATCAGACCCGTACTCATCAGGACGTGGTGTTCATCATCAGACCCGTACTCATCAGGATGTGGTGTTCATCATCAGACCCGTACACATCAGGACGTGGTGTTCATCATCAGACCCGTACTCATCAGGACGTGGTGTTCATCATCAGACCCGTACTCATCAGGACGTGGTGTTCATCATCAGACCCGTACTCATCAGACCCGTTCTCATTAGGCCGTGGTGTTCATCATCAGACCCGTTCTCATCAGGACGTGGTGTTCATCATCAGACCCGTACTCATCAGGATGTGGTGTTCATCATCAGACCCGTACTCATCAGGACGTGGTGTTCATCATCAGACCCGTACTCATCAGGACGTGGTGTTCATCATCAGACCCGTACTCATCAGGACGTGGTGTTCATCATCAGACCCGTACTCATCAGACCCGTTCTCATTAGGCCGTGGTGTTCATCATCAGACCCGTACTCATCAGGACGTGGTGTTCATCATCAGACCCGTACTCATCAGACCCGTACTCATCAGACCATGGTGTTCATCATCAGACCCGTACTCATCAGACCCGTACTCATCAGGACGTGGTGTTCATCCTCAGACCCGTTCTCATCAGACCCGTACTCATCAGGACGTTGTGTTCATCATCAGACCCGTACTCATCAGGCCGTGGTGTTCATCATCAGACCGTGGTGTTCATCATCAGACCGTGGTGTTCATCATCAGGCCGTGGTGTTCATCATCAGGCCTTGGTGTTCATCATCATCAGACCCGTTCTCATCAGACCGTGGTGTTCATCATCAGACCGTGGTGTTCATCATCAGGCCGTGGTGTTCATCATCAGGCCGTGGTGTTCATCATCATGCCTTGGTGTTCATCATCATCAGACCCGTTCTCATCAGACCGTGGTGTTCATCATCAGACCGTGGTGTTCATCATCAGGCCGTGGTGTTCATCATCAGGCCGTGGTGTTCATCATCATCAGACCCGTTCTCATCAGACCGTGGTGTTCATCATCAGACCGTGGTGTTCATCATCAGACCGTGGTGTTCATCATCAGGCCGTGGTGTTCATCATCAGGCCGTGGTGTTCATCATCAGGCCTTGGTGTTCATCATCATCAGACCCGTTCTCATCAGACCGTGGTGTTCATCATCAGACCGTGGTGTTCATCATCAGACTGTGGTGTTCATCATCATGCCTTGGTGTTCATCATCAGGCCTTGGTGTTCATCATCAGGCCGTGGTGTTCATCATCAGGCCGTGGTGTTCATCATCAGGCCGTGGTGTTCATCATCAGGCCGTGGTGTTCATCATCAGGCCTTGGTGTTCATCATCAGGCCGTGGTGTTCATCATCAGGCCGTGGTGTTCATCATCAGGCCTTGGTGTTCATCATCAGGCCGTGGTGTTCATCATCAGACCGTGGTGTTCATCATCAGGCCTTGGTGTTCATCATCAGGCCGTGGTGTTCATCATCAGGCCGTGGTGTTCATCATCAGGCCTTGGTGTTCATCATCATCAGACCCATTCTCATCAGACCGTGGTGTTCATCATCAGGCCGTGGTGTTCATCATCATCAGACCTGTTCTCATCAGGCCGTGGGGTTCATGATCAGGCCGTGGTGTTCATCATCAGGCCGTGGTGTTCATCATCAGGCCGTGGTGTTCATCATCAGGCCGTGGTGTTCATCATCAGACTGTGGTGTTCATCATCATGCCTTGGTGTTCATCATCATCAGACCCGTTCTCATCAGACCGTGGTGTTCATCATCAGACCGTGGTGTTCATCATCAGGCCGTGGTGTTCATCATCAGGCCTTGGTGTTCATCATCATCAGACCCGTTCTCATCAGACCGTGGTGTTCATCATCAGGCCGTGGTGTTCATCATCAGGCCGTGGTGTTCATCATCAGGCCGTGGTGTTCATCATCAGACCGTGGTGTTCATCATCAGGCCTTGGTGTTCATCATCAGGCCGTGGTGTTCATCATCAGGCCGTGGTGTTCATCATCATGCCTTGGTGTTCATCATCATCAGACCCGTTCTCATCAGACCGTGGTGTTCATCATCAGACCGTGGTGTTCATCATCAGACCATGGTGAGAGAGGGGGAGAGAGAGAGAGAGAGAGAGAGAGAGAGAGAGAGAGAGAGAGAGAGAGAGAGAGAGAGAGAGAGAGAGAGAGAAGCGAGAGAGGGATGAGACGCGAGAGAGAGAGAAGGGATAGACGAGAGAGACGAGTAATCTCTCGATCTCCCTCTCTCTCGATCTCTACAGGTTCTCGTCTAGAGAGAGAGGGAAAAAGGAAGCAAATGAAACATAGAGAGGGTGAAGTAAACTCAGAGGTGAGCCGGGGAGGAGAGGTGAATGAACACAGAGAAGACACACAGAGAGGTGAATGAACACAGAAAGTGGGTGAAGAGAACTGAGAGAAGAGGTGAGCTGCAGGTGAGCAGCAGGTGTTAAACAAATTAAAATATATTTTAGATTTTAGATTCTTCAAAGTAGCCACCCTTTGCCTTGATGACAGCTTTGCACACTCTTGGCATTCTCTCAACCAGCTTCATGAGGAATGCTTTTCCAATAGTCTTGAAGGAGTTCCCACATATGCTGAGCACTTCTTGGCTGCTTTTCCTTCACTCTGCGGTCCAATTCATCCCAAACCATCTCAATTGGGTTGAGGTCGGGTGATTGTGGAGGCCAGGTAATCTGATGCAGTACTCCATCACTCTCCTTCTTGGTCAAATAGCCCTTACACTGCCTGTAGGTGTGTTTTGGGTCATTTCCCTGTTGAAAAACAAATGATAGTCCCTTTAAGCGCAAACCAGATGGGATGGCGTATCGCTGCAGAATGCTGTGGTAGCCATTCTGGTTAAGTGTGCCTTGAATTCTAAATAAATCACAGACAGTGTCACCAGCAAAGCACCCCCACGTCATCACACCTCCTCCTCCATGCTTAGTGGTGTGAACCACACATGCAGAGATCATCCGTTCACCTACTCTGCGTCTTACAAAGCCACGGCGGTTGGAACCAAAAATCTCAAATTTGGACTCATCAGCCAAAGGACAGATTTCCACCAGTCTAATGTCCATTGCTCGTGTTTCTTGGCCAAAGCAAGTCTCTTCTTCTTATCGGTGTCCTTTAGTAGTGGTTTCTTTGCAGCAATTCGAAAGGCCTGATTCACGCAGTCTCCTCTGAACAGTTGATGTTGAGATGTGTCTGTTACTTGAACTCTGTGAAGCATTTATTTGGGCTGCAATCTGAGGTGCAGTTAACTCTAACAAACTTATCCTCTGCTGCAGAGGTAACTCTGGGTCTTCCTTTCCTGTGGCGGTCCTCATGAGAGCCAGTTTCATCATAGCGGTAGATGGTTTTTGCGACTGCACTTGAAGAAACTTGAAAAGTTCTTGAATTTCTCCAGATTGACTGACCTTCATGTCTTAAAGTAATGATGGACTGTCGTTTCTCTTTGCTTATTTGAGCTGTTCTTGCCATAATATGGACTTGGTCTTTTACCAAATAGGGCTATCTTCTGTATACCACCCCTACCTTGTCACAACACAACTAAATGGCTCAAACGCATTAAGAAGGAAAGAAATTCCACAAATTAACTTTTAAGAAGGCACTGTTAATTGAAATGCATTCCAGTTGACTACCTCATGAAGCTGGTTGAGAGAATGCTAAGAGTGTGCAAAGCTGTAATCAAGGCAAAGGGTGGCTACTTTGTAGAATCTCAAATATAAAATATATTTTGATTTGTTTAACACTTTATTGGTTACTACATGATTCCATATGTGTTATTTCATAGTTTTGATGTCTTCACTATTATTCTACAATGTAGAAAATAGTAAAAATAAAGAAAACCCCTTGAATGAGTAGGTGTGTCCAAACTTTTGACTGGTACTGCATATACTTCTCTGGTCATAGCTCACTGTAATATATCTACTGCTGTACATTTCATTCTTAGTATATCTTGTTGGTGTATATAACATGCAGTAGATTGCATTTGGATTACTTATACAGTGTTATTTGGGTTGTTAAATGGATTCGTCATGATATTCGTGATTTCTTGTCCTTCAGTTTTTGAATATTATTTGTGTACTTGTTTGACATTTTTACTGCATTGACTGGAGCTAGTAACACAAGCATTTGGTTGCAGCTGCTATAACATCTGCCAAACCGTGTACACAACCAATAAACTTTGATTTGATTTTAATTTGATGAACACAGAGAGAGGGTGACGTGAACTTCACTGAAGAGAGGATGGAGGGAGGGAGGGAGGGAGGGAGGGAGGGGGGAGGGAGGGGGGGAGGGAGGGAGGGATGGATGGAGGGGTCACAGAGAGGATGGATGGAGGGAGGGAGGGAGGGAGGGAGGGAGGGAGGGAGGGACGGGAGGGAGGGAGGGAGGGAGGGGGAGGGAGGGAGGGAGGGAGGGGGGAGGGAGGGATGGGGGTCACAGAGAGGATGGAGGGAGGGAGGGAGGGAGGGAGGGAGGGAGGGGGATGGAGGGAGGGAGGGAGGGAGGGAGGGAGGGAGGGAGGAGGGAGGGAGGGAGGGAGGGAGGGGGGTCACAGAGAGGAGGGAGGGAGGGAGGGAGGGAGGGAGGGAGGGAGGGAGGGAGGGAGGGATGGAGGGAGGGAGGGGAGGGAGGGAGGAGGGAGGGGAGGGAGGGAGGGAGGGAGGGGGAGGGGGAGGGAGGGAGGGAGGGAGGGAGGGAGGGAGGGGGAGGAGGGAGGGATGGGGTCACAGAGAGGAGGGAGGGAGGGAGGGAGGGAGGGATGGAGGGAGGGAGGGAGGGAGGGAGGGAGGGAGGGAGGGAGGGGGGTCACAGAGAGGATGGAGGGAGGGAAGGAGGGAGGGAGGGAGGGAGGGAGGGAGGGAGGGAGGGAGGGAGGGAGGGAGGGGGGTCACAGAGAGGATGGAGGGAGGGAGGGAGGGAGGGAGGGAGGGAGGGAGGGAGGGAGGGAGGGGGGTCACAGAGAGGATGGAGGGAGGGAGGAGGGAGGGAGGGAGGGAGGGGGTCACAGAATGAAAAAGAACAGAAAGAACAGAAGGGCAGACTAGGACAGAGAGTGTTTCCAGGGGTTACCAAGACAACCGTCTGTCCCTCGCAGCAGTTTGCCTTCTTCAGGAACAGAACAGGAACACACAGGCTGCATCCCAAAATAAACCCTACTCCCTATGGGCCCCGGTCAAAAGTAGTGCAATATTTAGTGAACAGGGTGCAATTCGGGATGCCTGGTTTACACAGCAGCACAGTACACTCCCTACTTTACCCCCAAAACAGGACAGAGATAAGTGTGTGAATAGCTCTTCTATGAGAGAGAGAGAGAGAGAGAGAGAGAGAGAGAGAGAGAGAGAGAGAGAGAGAGAGAGAGAGAGAGAGAGAGAGAGAGAGAGAGAGAGAGACAGAGAGACAGAGAGACAGAGAGGCAGAGACTGAGAGATGCTTGGCACAGTCAGACAGAATAAAAGAGATTGGGTAGGGAAGGGGCATGGTAAACAATGTCATGATTGAGATTTCACAATGGAATTATAGTTACACAACCCTGATGTCATTCTAAATGGCACCCTATTCCCTATATAGTTCATTACCAATACACTATGGGCCCTGGTCAAAAGAAGTGCACTACGAAGGTAATAGGGTCCCATTTGTTTCACCACCACTGCATTGGACTGGCAGCGTCATGTCATTGCGGGTACTGTACAGTACCATGGAGAGAACACTAGGTCTTTGTACACACATGCACATGCACACACACACGCATACACACACACACATACACATACACACACACACACATACACATACACACACACACACATATACACACACATACAGTGGGTATCGTAAGTATTCACTCCCCTTGGATTTCTTCACATTTTACACAAAATCACGATCTACACAAAATAATTCGAAATATTTCTTAAAAAGTAATGGAAATTGAAAAATGAATATACCTTGATTAGTATTCACCCCCCTGAGTCAATACATGGTAGAAACGCCTTTAGTAGTGATTACAGCTGTCAGTCTTCTCTGTTTAGTCTCTAAGAGCTTTGCACACCTGGATTGTGCAATATAGCTCTGTCAAGGAGTTGGGGGTTATGGCTACAGCAATTGTCAAGTCTTGCCATAGTTTTTCAACCAGATTTAAGTCAAAACTGTAACTTGGCCACTCAGGAGCATTCACCGTCTTCTTGGTAAGCAACTCCAGTGTAGATTTGGCCTTGTGTTGTAGGTTATTGTCCTGCTGAAAGGTGCATTTCTCTCCCAGTGTCTGGTGGAAAGCAGACTGAAGCAGGTTTTCCTCTAGGATTTTGCCTGTGCTTAGCTCCATCCCGTTTCTTTTCATCCTGAAAAACTCCCCAGTCTTTGGCGATGTCAAACATACCCATACCATGATGCAGCCACCACCATGCTTGAAAAAAAGGTGGCAGTTACTCAGTGTTGTGTTGGATTTGCCCAAACGTAAGGCTTTGCATTTAGGACAAAAAGTGTATTCCTTTGCTGTATAACTTTAGTGCCTTGTTGCATACAGAATGCATGTTTTGGAATATTTGTATTCTGTATATTTGTATTCTTATTTTCACTCTGTTGTTTAGGTCATTATTGTGGAGTCACTACAATGTTGTTGATCCATCCTCAGTTTTCCCCTATCACAGCCAGTGACATCCCTGAGCAGTTTCCTTCCTCTCCTGCAGCTCAGTTCAGAAGGACGACTGTATCTTTGATGTGTCTGGGTGGTTAAATATATAATCCACAGCATAATTATTAACTTGACAATGCTTAGAGATATTCTATGTCTGATGTGTTATTGTTACCCATCTACCAATCACTGCCCTTCTTTATGAGGCTTTCTAAAAGCTCCCTGGTCTTTGTAGTTGAATATGTGCTTGAAATTCAATAATAGACTGAGCGACCTTACAGATGTTGTATGTATGGGGGACAGAGGAAGGGGTAGTCATTCAAAAATCATGTTAACCGCTATTATTTCACACAGAGTGAGTCCATGTAACGTATGTGATTTGTTAAGACAAATGTTACTAGTCAACTAATTTAGGCTTGCCTAAACAAAGGGGGTGAATACTTATGATACCCACTGTACACACACACACACACACACACACACACACTGGCTTGGTACAGACAGGATACACTACTAGCCATGATGCCATGTCTGACCTATCAGAATCAGATGCCTCATAGTCAAAGTAGGAACTTACTCATCACTCACTGTACTCAGTGGAGGTTATCATTGTATTGGTTCCAGTGGAGGCTCCTCAGCGGAGGAAGGGGAGGACCATCCTCCTCAGTGAATTTCATACAAATTTAAATTGTTAAACATTTAAAGGTTATCCTTTTTAGATAAAACTATACTAAATATAATCACGTCTCCAAATAACTGATTAAAACACACTATTTTGCAAAGAAGGTATACAGTAGCCTCAACAGCACTCTGTAGGGTAGCACCATGGTGTAGACGGAGGACAGCTAGCTTCCGTCCTCCTCTAGGTACATTGAGTTCAATACAAAACCTAGGAGGCTCATGGTTCTCACCCCCTTTCTATAGACTTACACAGTAATTATGACAACTTCCGGAGGACGTCCTCCAGCCTATCAGAGCTCTTGCAGCATGAACTGACATGTTGTCCACCCAATCAAAGGATCAGAGAATTAATCCAGTACTGCATAAACTACAGCTAGCTAGCACTGCAGTGCATAAAATGTGGAGAGTAGTTGACTCAAAGAGAGAGAAAGACAATAGTTGAACAGTTTTTAACAAATTAATTTCTTCCAAAATGAAGGAGAAGCAAGAGAGAAATTGAGAAATTGAGAGAGATTATTATTATTATTTTTAACTTTCAGTTTCACTTACTTTACTTAGCTAGCAAATGCAGCTAGCTAGTTTATCCTACTGAAACACCCTGCTCAAACAGATGGATGCTATGTTAGCTAGCTGGCTATGACTTTCCAACACAACACTGGAACTCTTCCAAGTCAAGGTAAGCTTTTGGTATTACTAATTTATTGTCACTGGGGCCCGCCGGTGTAACTGTTTACTGACTATACACTGGAACGTTACTGCATGATTGTAGCGGGTTTACTAACAGAGTTCTATTAGCTATGTTGACTATGACCTTACTTTAGCTAATATGGTGACAATGATGTAGGCTGTGTGTTGCGGTTATGACATGGTTTGGCTTGGAAAGGTTTTTACGCCTGGTCACATACAGCTGATGTGTTGTGCATTGAAGTCCACAAGCGAAGGGAAGAGAAGGAATACAACGTGGCTGTTATGAGAGTGAACTGTGTTTACGCGTGATCAGGGGTGTATTCATTCCGCCGATTCTGTTGAAAAACGTTTCTTAAACGGAAGCAAATGGAACAAAATGGGGATAAACATACCTGAATTTTTCCAATAGAAACTCTTGTTTGCAACTGTTGGACAAATGATTACGCCCAATATCAGCTAGATGCAGGCAAGAGTGTGCAAGGCGGTATTGAATGTCACTGTCTGTCACCTCAAATTTGTCTCTCGACCTGTGTGCACCTACGTTGTAAACTTTCATTCAGAGGCTAGGTTGTAGCAACCTCATGATGGGCATAGGGAACATTTGAGTATCATGTAGTAGCCTAAACCTATGGATGTTACATTGAACTGGGTGAATGGAATATGAATGAGAGTCATCCAATATGCTGTAATAGAAATAAGGCCATGCTCATGAAAAAAAAATTGTCCGATTGGTTCCTACCTTCTCTTCAGCATTTATTTTAAGCATGATTTCCATTCAGGGCTTCCATTATCCTGATTAATATGTGTGCTTATTGCCTCCTCTGGCCCAAACAAATATTTTAATGAACTCCTTTAGTAAGAAAACAAATGTTTTAGTGAACTCCTTTAATAATAAAACAAATGTTTAAGTGAACTCCTTTAGCAAGAAAACAATTATTTTAGTGAACTCCTTTAGCAAGAAAACAATTGTTTTAGTAAACTCCTTTAGTAATAACACAAATGTTTTAGTGAACTCCTTTAGCAAGAAAACAATTATTTTAGTTAACTCCTTTAGCAAGAAAGCAAATGTTTTAGTGAACTTTAGCAAGAAAACAAATGTTTTAGTAAACTCCTTTAGTAATAACACAAATGTTTAGTGAACTCCTTTAGTAAGAAAACAAATGTTTTAGTGAACTCCTTTAGCAAGAAAACAAGGCATTTGAGACAGTCCCTGATTGGTTGACAGGTTGTTTGATTGGTTGGTTGGTTGGTTGATAAGTAATAATACATTTAACTCATAAAGTGCATTTCTCAAACCCAAGGCGCTAAAAATAACAGCAATGGTAGTGTTACCTTTTTGCCACCACTAGATGACAGGTATGTTTCCAAGATGCAGGGCAGATTGCTTGATTGGTGGATGTCTTTACACTTTGACTTCATCGTGATCCATCACAGTCAACCTTCACATTGAGACGTGATAACAATATAATTGATCAATATAAGTACGCTAGCGTAATTACAATGTAGGTACATACTGTTGTCACATGGTTCTACAGCAGCCTACCTGTTAGCAGATTGTACAATATCAACAATTTAAATAATTTCACAAAGGATATTATATGATCATCTTTTGAAGTTAGCTAACCCTTAGACCTACAAACTTTTAAAAATTCCATCTCACCAGGGTTGGGGTCAATTCCATTTAAATTCCAGTCAATTCAGGAAGTACACTGAAATTCCAATTCCAATTCTCTTCAATGAGGAACATTTGGAATTGGAATTTGGTTTACTTTCTGAATTGACTGGAATTGAAAAGAAATGGAGCCCAACCCTGCAGCTCACAGCGCTCACTTACCCCTCTACCTTGAACAGCATGTCAGAATGTTATGAGTCCCTAGGCTAGGGTTTACACTCCTCCCTCAGTAAAACTCAATGGTTACCAAGTTACACAGAACAATGTGAACCACAACTTCCTTTTTTATTTTACCTTTCAGTCAATTCCAAGTCTGACTGGCTGTAAAGGTTATAGGTTATAAGCTGCAGTGTTGATGAAAGAAAGTACTTTTTGTTCACATGTATTTTCTTATAAAATAATAGTCTCCACAGAGAGTCTGTGGCTTAGTCTCCACAGACTTGCATCCTAGTTGAGACTATTATTTGGCCTAGTCTCCACAGACTTGCATCCTAGTTGAGACTATTATTTGGCCTAGTCTCCACAGACTTGCATCCTAGTTGAGACTATTATTTGGCCTAGACTCCACAGACTTGCATCCTAGTTGAGACTATTATTTGGCCTAGTCTCCACAGACTTGCATCCTAGTTTAGACTATTATTTGGCCTAGTCTCCACAGACTTGCATCCCAGTTGAGACTATTATTTGGCCTAGTCTCCACAGACTTGCATCGTAGTTGAGACTATTATTTGGCCTAGTCTCCACAGACTTTCATCCCAGTTGAGACAATTATTTGGCCTAGTCTCCACAGACTTGTATCGTAGTTGAGACTATTATTTGGCCTAGTCTCCACAGACTTGCATCCCAGTTGAGACTATTATTTGGCCTAGTCTCCACAGACTTGCATCCCAGTTGAGACTATTATTTGGCCTAGTCTCCACAGACTTGCATCCCAGTTGAGACTATTATTAGGCCTAGTCTCCACAGACTTGCATCCCAGTTGAGACTATTATTAGGCCTAGTCTCCACAGACTTGCATCCCAGTTGAGACTATTATTTGGCCTAGTCTATCTAGTGATGTGCATTGTATAATGATTTCTACAGTTCTACTAGGCCTTTGTATCATAATATATATTACAGCCTAAGCTACTTCTTGAGGCTGAATGGACACTAACTATCTGCCTATAGTTCTCACGTGTCCCAACTAATGTATTAAATCGGCAGAAATTGTAGCCTAACAATGTGGGGGCAATTTTACTTTCTTCTCAGGAATTTAACGAATCAGACTATTAAACTATTCATGTCAATAAATGCCTTAGCCGATTATATAATCCTGTATCAGCATGACATTACAAAACTGTCCTGACAGCAATGTCTGGAGTTAACGGGTCTGTTTAATATATGTGTATATAGAGTGGTTGCCATGATACGAATAGGTCCTATTCAATGGGCCATATTCACTGGGCTGTTTAGAGTGGCCGTTCTCACTCTCCCACAGCAGGCGCGGGCAAATCCTCTCTGAGCAGCGCACCAGATCACTTCTATAACAACCGTATAGGCCACAGGATGTTGATGCTTTGACTTATAACAATAATGGGGTGACGTATCCGATATGATAACATTAAAATACATTTTGTTCAGCTGAAAACGTTGTTGATTGACACTATAAACCACAAAGGCCTAGGCATATTGATCGAATCAATGGCTTAAAGGCCTAATAGCAATATTGCGTGCACTAGCCTAGGTCAGTAGTCCTACTCCTTAGCAGGGTAATGCTTTGGCATTTGTCAGCGGGTGCACGAGAGCTCTCTGACAACACTGATTAACACACATTCTAATAAGAAGCTTATCTAGTTAGCACCAAAATGACTCAAAGTAGGATATAAAAGCAACCTTGTGAAACCTAAGCTTTCAATGACATCTGAGCCATCGTGTCATTCTTGACTTTTGACTTGTTGATTGGGCAGAACCAATTGACATTGGTTACGGTTGCCATCATAGCTACATACCTCCATCCAAGTAATGGATACTGGAGGATATGTCTACCTAATTTGATTTGTATTGGGTTTATTGATCACAAAACTGCCAGGGGTAATATCTACACTAATTAAATAAGTCAAACGCTCAGTGCATGTAGCTTTTTTTTTTTTTTACTTCATACAAATGGCATAAAAATGTCAGGGTATAACGAAACATTTGAGCTGATACAAACATCCCCCTTCTCCCTCATAATAAATACTGTAGGCCTACAAATCTGATCCACCTTTACAACATGTTTTCTTTAATTTTCCACAGTGCAAAAAAACAGGTGCATCTTCTGAGAGGGTAAAAACAGTCGTTTGCCCCCCCCCCCAAAAAAACACGCAAAGTAACCCTGTCGTCGCCGTTGACAGCTATTGTTCTTGGACACAAAGGAAGAGGAGTCCTTGGATCGCAGGCGGCTCATGCCAACCAACGAATAAAGGCGCCTCAATAAAAACAAAAGCCACGTGCAAAAGAAGAGAACACAGGATTCTGCCAGTGTCAACATGAAAGGCTATTCAATTAAGACATCATTAGAATTATTAGACTAGTAAAAACAACATTCCCATGTGTGTGGAAACAGTGTTCGCCGTGCGTAATGGTGAGCAGTGTCAGTGGATAGGCTACTAAGAATCAATTTATTTTGTGTAGGCTACAATGTGCAATGTTCGTAGCTTGCCATATCACATAATATTAAAGTCCTATAATATGAGAAGCATTCGTCAGCAGCTTTTTAGGTGCGGAAGGGCAGATAGTTTGTCCACTTTTCCAAAAGCAGCGGCGCTTTCAACACCTTTCAGCCATTCTTTGCATTTCCTCACCACCGTCTCATCCACGTCGCCATCGTCTTCTTCATATTCCACGTCATCGTATTTATACTGATCATTTAGTAAAGAGATTTTTACTATGGTTGTAATGTCCTCTGCATGTTCCAGATTGGGATCGGGGTTGGTCGTGCTTTTGGAACCACCTTGAGTCCTTTTGGATGGAAAGACTCGCCTGTGCCGAAAGTCCACGGACACACAACCCTTCTGCTGTTTGGCTAGCATCTGTTTTTCTAAGCTGCGCTTCTGAATAACGAGAATGGCCTCCGGTGTGAGGCTCAGAGAGAATTGAATCTTCCTTTCTTCTCCTGCCTCGTCCTTTCCTATGGAACTCCGCGATGACTGCTTGCCCCTGTCCCGGTGAGTGGTGGATTCCACGGAGCTGTAAAGCGGAACGCTCTCGCACGAGTCTTGAGATTGTTTGGGTAAAGTTAGCCAGGAGTTCTTTAAACCTTCTGTCTCCTGAATCGGGAGTTTGGTTTTCTGTTGTTGGGGTTTTCGCCCCAAATTCCTCAGATTGGCCGTAGTCCAAGACTTCGACATCTTTTCCTTCTCAGAGTCTTTTTCCTCCGTCTGTTTCATTTTCCTGAACAGCTCTCTCCCGGGAGAAGAGATTCGTTGATGGAGATTTATCGGCGGAAAAGGCATTATTGGGATTTAAAAGTGATCCGACCACAACAGCAACGTCGTCTATTAAACAGAATACGAATTTTAAACTCGAAGACTGTAAATAAATATACTGTATTGCAATTGCATTATCCGATCAAATACAAATGTGGTATCTTGAATGTGGTAATGTGCACCAGTGCTATAATCCGTTTAGTAATTCAACTGGTGTGAAGTTGCGGCTTGTCTGGTATTTATACGGCTGGTCCGTGGGAGGCGTGTCCATGGCAAGAGCTAGGAGCAGAAACACGCGGCTAAACAAAGGCAACAGCGGTAAAAGAACAAGCATGGCTTAGGATAGTGATGTCATTCATTCCATATAGTACTTTAAATGTAACGTTGTTCTTGTTGAATGTAAAAAATTAAAAACTGACCAATAACATGATAGGCTTACTATTCAGGGGACCGTTATTACAGCGCTGAGGTCAATTCCAATTGACATTTCAGTAGAATGTTCACGTTTTTCCATTCTTGAACTGTAAATTCAGTTCATCCACTGAAATGAAAATTAAACCAAATAAATTAGATGAAATAAATAAAGAGCTCACACACACACAATATTGCTATAGCTATTTATATAATTTCCCAGTGACAAATGTCCATTTACTCATGTAACCTGCTATGTCTGGTATAGATCCATCTGCCTTTTCTCTGCCCTGAACCATTTCTAGGTCGAAACCTGATTGTAAATCGCCTGGGGATATATTGTTTACCCATCATTAATGAATGAAGGATGAAGTGTATTGACTGTTAGTCGACATCAATAGTATTGAATGATTCCATTTTGAATAAATAGTGAGCAGAATTCCATTTTATTCAGAGGCATAATATTGTTATCAGAGGCTCAAGGCATAATCTCTCGAAGAGTGTGCTAAAACACGTTCTGTCAGGGTCTTGCTTATAACCCTACCTACATGGACATATTACCTCAACTAACCGGTACCCCCTGTATATAGTCTCGTTATTGTTATTTTATTGTGTTACTTAAAACATTATTTTTTTGTTTAGCATATTTAGTAAATATTTTCATAACTCTTATTTTTCTTAAAACTGCATTGTTGGTTAAGGGCTTGTAAGTAAGCATTTCACGGTAAGGTCTACACCTGTTGTATTCGCCGCAAGTGACAAATAAAGTTTGATTTGATTTGTAAGAGACTAATTTTGGACTTATAAATTAATGATATGTAACAATTGATTTTTGACTAATATAACTTATAAATGGCTCATCATGAGCTTAGTTTAACTGTCATACCCCATCCGAACCCAAACTTAAACAAAACATGATTCAAATTATATTTTTGATATCATGGATAGTCAGTCCTTGCATCAGAAGCTCTGTCTATGAATTTGAGAGTGCTTACATTTCTCCATGCAGCCCCATCCTTCAGCTTTTTACCCAAAACAGTGGCAGGGATTTGGATCGTTTGAACTGCTGATTGCCATAGGCCTCTCACACATATTAACCTGTAATAGCCAGGCCTGTACACTGTTTTCTTTTCCTCCATTTTGTGTGAATCATTTCTCAATTTCAAAGGTAAATAGCTTTGCTATTTCTAGTAATATGTGACAGAACTGACTTTGAGAGAGACGAGCAGTATAGATTCAGAACACAAGCCATGATCACAATACAATACAAAAGAGTAATGATCCATTTGCACAGAAACGCTTTATTTTTTTAACTGTCACAATGTCATTGTTGAATATACCACTAACCACATACAGTAGCCAAAAAGCTGATGATCGGTTGGGTTTAATCATGGAAAGACAGTCTACACCCTCTATAACATCTACTAAACACCTGTATGTGACAAATAACATTTGATTTGATGGTGGTGATTACTGTATTGAGTTCAGAAGTTTTTCTTTCTTGTTCTCCAAATTAACTTCTTCTTCGTCATCCACATTCACTCTCAAAGAAGCTAAACAAAACAAACAACTCTCCATCCTCTATCCAAAAAAAGGAAATGGTATACGCCAACTGAATATCCCACCTGATCAAGGGGTTTGGTTCAAGGGCTTTTCTTGTTCTCAAAGTCATCATAATTTAATGGACAAAACAGACCCACATTCACAACAACAAACAATTGTCTTTGCATCCAAAGAAAGACAACAGAAATAAGAGATGTATTTTCCTCCCTCTCCCAGATTACTCTGATAGTCACAGTGAGCCTAAAGCTTAGCTGAACCCCTGCCAAGCCAAGTCCCTGGACCTGCGTCCCAAACGGAACACTATCCCCTTTATAGTGCACTACTTTTGATCAGGGCCCATATAGGGTTCTGGTCAAATGTAGTGCGCCATTTAGGGAATAGGGTTCCATTTGGGATGCATTCTGGAACTAGTGCTACTGAAAGGGGATTTATTTCTTATATTAAAAGCATGTTCCATGATCACATTGCTAATGAAACGTTGGGGGGGGGGTCGGAGAATATAATTCCATAACACTGCTGGGTAAATACGATAGGCATCAATCATGTACTCCAAGATCAAATATGGTTCTATACGGAACCAAAAAAGGTTCTATGCTCCGATAGATGTCATCCCTAAAGAACCTTTATTCCAAGCAAACATTTGTTCCGAGTATATAAAGAAAGCCCCCTAAGCGGGATGTTTAAAAACCTGTGTGTTAGGTGGAGTAGACCAACGTAAGAAGCGAACAGGATAATGTCTTAAGAGGACCACAAGAATAACACACAAGATTGATGGCACGTCTTAAAGGTTTGTTGTTTTTCTTAAAGAGCAATGAAGCATCTTTCCTTGCCCAGAGCTTTCTCTCTTTGTTGTGGGTTAAGGCCACTCATTGTATTGGGCTACGGGTCTAATCCAGGAAAAGTCCCCTCCTCCCCTCTGAACCATATTACCTCTGAGAGGAGAGGCGGAGGCAGACGGACCAACCAGACCTGTGACACTCCTGTCTGAAATCCCACTGTCTCATTACCATAATGGACCCTAATGGACCATGGATGCTCCAGTTGGGAATACGGAGAGGGGGAGCGGGTGGGGGGGGGTAACTTCCTAGCTCCTGGGGTTGTCATAGCAACCACATCCTCCTTTCAGAATCCCATCCAGAAGGCTCCAGCTTATTCCGAAGATGTTTATATTTAGAATGAACCCCAACATGACACAATAGCATTGGTCCCAAATCTGTTTGTGCCATCTTGCCAAATATGCTTATTGTGACAATGACCATAGACGTTGTGAAGACAGCACAAAAAGCTAGATATGGGACCAGGCTAATATAAAAAGCCATGTATAGCAGGTTATTCGGTTATGTTAAGATTACACAGAGCAGAAGGGCGGAGTGAATGAGCCAGAAGGTCTCCACTGCATCTGGCTGACAATTAGAGAAACAAAGAGAGCTCATTTACAGGCAATTGGCTTTGAGCTGAAGGGGTAAGAGGGGAGATGTTGTATGTCACTGCACACATGTTGATCTGGGTCTTCTTCAGTAGGCATCAAACTGAAGAAAAACGGACTGAAATGGAGAGGGATTTGTCCAATAAGAAATGTAAAAAAAAAATCCAGTTGCAAAGCATTTTGAACCATTTTGCTGAGGTTTGCCCTAATGACCACTGGGATACAGTAGCTGCTTTCCCTTTGTTGTCTTTGGCTGAGAAAAGCCAAGAGTGGGATCTGGGTTTAATGTGGTGTGATGTGATCGTCTGTCTGTCGCCCCTGGCAGGGCACGGTGGGGTACTGTAGTTCTCCATTAACAATTTAGTAACATAACACAATTTGAGTCTATCAGCCACATTAATTACACGTCACTGACTTGGACACATGGGGTGAGGAGATCCAATGTGTTTCAAGGAATCACACACACACACACACACACACACACACACACACACACACACACACACACACACACACACTACACAATTATAAGCATGACACCAACATTTAAAGGAAAACTCCACCCAAAAACATTCTTTCGGTATTTGTTTCATTAGTCCATTGTTGACATAGTCCCAAAATGTTTTGCTTGTCAGCGATCAAGTTTTCAAGATATGTAACTTTCAAAATACAGAAATCATCCCCGAATGATGCATTTTGCATAATTTGATGCTGCGTTTTACATATCTTGAAAACATAATTGCTGACAAGCAAAACATTTTCGGACTATGTCAACAATGGACTAATGAAACAAATACCGAAAGATAGTTTTGGGTGGAGTTTTCCTTTAAGGGCGAACTAAGTTGGTTTACTGAATAGCCTGCAGTTTCAAAATGAAAACATTTGTTGATGTTATTAATAAAAAATAGACAGTCATATTCCATTCTTCTGAAGAAGGAAACCTTATGTTAAAATATCAGCAAATCATATGGTCATGAGGCAAAATACAAAGTTGAAAAAGTTAAGGTATTGAGTTGTATTTTCAGTTTTACAGGTATCATATTGTAAAATGTCTATAGGCCTTTCCCTTCTCTGAACAAAACAAGATATAAAATTGGTCTTCTTGCAGGGTAGGGGTCAATTCGAATTGAAGGCAGTCAATTCAGGAAGTAAACTGAACTTCCAATTCAATAATTGAAAAAAAAAAAGCATATTTTAATGACTTCTCAATGAACTGAGAAGTAAAAGCTATTTATTTTGAGAGTTGTTAAATGTTTTCATTTGAAATTCAAATCACTTCCTGAATTGATTGCCTTCAATTCCACTTGACCCCAATCCTGTCTTTTTGGATGATATATATATTAGGAACATTCTTAAATCATTTGATTTCAAGCATTCACCTCTCACCCGGAAGCATAAACACACTTAAAATAACAGACCCAATCTGAGAGTAAGAAACTAAACGGATAAATAAGCATCAATCAGGGTCAATTCAGGAATTAAACTAATTCCAATTCCAAATTCCAGTCTTCTTCCTGAATTAACTGAATTGAAATTGACCCCAACCCTGATAAGCATAATA